CTGGTTTACTAAGCTTACATTTACTGCCAATTAAATTTGCTTTTTTAAAAGATAAAATCATTGAGGATGTTTATGCAATGTAATAAAAGGGTTCTTGAAACATACTATTTTTAAATTGAACAGTTTTTTTTGAAATTGTGACAACGATTATTCAATACGTGTTTTTAATAAACTTCATATCTGCATTGCTTTTTATTGTTTAAATAATTTAGTTTTTTTGTGTTGAAAAAAAATGTTGCAAAACTTATTGCATTTGCACTGATTTGTCTATTTGAGCATGCGCAAAACTGACTGCATTCTTTTACTGCAGCTCATTTCTGTTCAGTGTTAATTTGCCTGCACTGTGCACACAGTTCACTCGCCCAACTCGATAACGAGCATTTCTGCCAAGTGTTTACGTTGAGGGTAAGTAGTCACAACAACAGCAAGTCATATTTTGCACCGGTAAGGACAATGTTTGCTTGCATTGGTATCATTGGCACATTTATTTCTTGCTTACATTGACAAACAGTTTACATGTGCACGACTGTAGCAACGACAGCAACAGCAGCAGCAGGACAGTTGGGCACAAGGGCTATTTAAAAGTTGCCACAATCAGTCTTTTGGCACAAAACAGTACAGCTGCAGTTTCCTATCTCTTTTAGCCTAAACTCTAAAACGCTTTTTGTCAATTATCATCTCTCTTTCTAATCAAGTTACTATGTTTCTTTAGGTTTCTAACGCACGTCAAGCGCACACTGCTACTGAGCCGTGAACATTGCCGTTCATTGATCTACAAAAGCAACCAGTTAGTAAACTACTTTAGCAAACACTCTTTCAACACCAACCAGCAAACACGGGTTTATTCAACAGCAAACCCACCATGGCGTCACCTGAGGTACAGAAAATTGTCGACGATCTAATTCGCACAAAAAAGGTGATGGTTTTCTCCAAATCGTACTGCCCTTTCTGCACTAAGGCGAAGAATGCCCTTGCTCCGTACAACATTCCAGCCGATGATTACTACGTTTGGGAAATTGAACATGAGCCGCAGATGGCAGAGATTCAAACTTACCTAAAGCAGCTCACCGGTGCATCCTCTGTTCCTCGTGTCTTTATCAATGGCAAGTTCATTGGTGGTGGTGATGACACCGGTAAGTTACGCAGTAATGCTGTTGAAAGTATTGAAACCGTTTCTAACTACTTGTTTTGTTTGTTTTTAGCTCAACTTCATAAAAGCGGTCAACTTGCTCAGTTACTCCAGTAAACATTAATTTGACATTATATTAAAGATAAACTTGTTTTACACATACTTTAATACCCAAAAACATGTACTTAGATGCTAGTAAAACAATTCTTACTTTTATGATAACTTGAAACCGTTTAAAGTAATAAATAATTAAAAAAAATTAGATGTAATTTTCATAGTCAAACACATAAACTGTAAATTGTTGTTTTTAAAATATCCATTACATGATCAAAAACAAAAAATTAAATGAAACGTTTAAAAACATAAAGAGCAATCTGAAAATGTGTTGAAAGTATAATATCACGGCTAGTGTACACTTACTTAAGTACAATCAGCTTATCTTTCTACAAACGACATTAGCACATTGTCTTTGATAGTGAAAAGTATCTTCATTAAACGCCACTTTCGTCGTACTTCAAGTTCACCGAGCAAAATTGGACAAAAGATATCAACTAGAATGCCTTCATCTTGGTAGCCGCATTGAATGAGGTGCTTCAAGTGCAACAACATAAAACACAACGTTTGCACACTGCTCGGCGGCATTGCATCAAAGGTGTCCAGCAGATTTTGCTTAAGCTCATCTTCCGACTTTTTGTCTGTTGAGCAAATCAAAAAAAGAAGTTTTTTGTTAACAAAAACAAAATGTACTACATGTTTTCCCACTTACTCAAGTTGAGCGAGTACTCCTTCCAGTTGGCCGGCGTGAAGACCGGCTCACAGACATCCGCCAGAAAGTACTTGACCATGCCGCAGAGCTGGTCGACGGTGAAGCCGTCCATCCTTCGGATGCCCAGCTTTCCTTGTGACAGCGTCCTCTTCACCTCATCCTTGACCACCTTCAGGCGTTCACTCTCTACGTAGTACAGCTTGAGGGAGGCCATGTTGAGGGAGGCCAGCGGGCCGCATGCTGCAACAGCTGTGCCGTTTTGGCTCGTCTTCTCCAGCAGCGAGCACTTGGCCTCGATCTCTCGGCAGCAGCGGATGAGCAGCGCCGGCACTGAGGGCCGCGATCGAGGGTACACGTAGTTGGAGATCAACTTGCTTGGCCGCAGGTTCGGATCGACGAATTTGATGCAGGGCGTGGGCACAGTGCTTGCGCAGTTGGTGTGGCACTTGGTGAGGCAGAGGATGCACTGAAGCGTCTTATCGGAGAAGTTAAACGGCTGCCCGCACAGACACTGTAGACCACTTTCGGTGGGGCCATTTTTGCCCAGAGCAGCGGCTACGCGGGAGCCAATGTCAACTACCTGTGTTTTGACTACAAAGTTGTGTCTGGTTTTTGAGGGGAGGGGCGAGAAGGGGTGAAAAGGAGAGATTAAGTTGAAAATAAAACAAAGTATAATAGGAAAGGTTTTCAGTTTAAACTATTGTTTATTACCTGTACACGTTTTGTAGTTTTTCTAAAAGCACATTGTAAGTGGGCAACACCTTAAAGGTGGCAGGTTCTTTAAGTTTACTTTTGTCAAACTCAGTTTGAAGAAGAGCTGGACTGGGACTTCGGCTTAGTTTACTTTGATCATCACAGAGCAGTTGATCAGTGTTTGGCGACAGCTTGAATGATTCAAGCTTAAGTTCGGCTAGATCTTCTATTACCTGCTGGTGATTGATCAATCGAAGTGGTGTTGGTGTTGGCGGCGGAGATTCGGTTGCGTTTATTGCTGGTAATTCATTTTGCACTGGTTCATCAGCAAACTTGACAACTCGAACAGATTCCGGTTTTGCTGTTGGTGTTGTAATGTGATATTCCTTTTTTATGCGTGCTATTCTATCAGTTACTGATTCTTTGTTGTTTGTTGAATCTGTTTCTAAGTTTTCGGTAATTGTATTTTTGATAGCTTTCATACGTACGCGATCTAGCTTTTTTGTGAAACATTTTTGAGATTTGCTTCTTTTGAGTTTTGGAAAGGCCGATCCATTGACATTTGACATGTCAATGTTGCAAAAGTTTTTACTATTAACTTCGGCATTTGAAATTGATTTTTGCAATGAATTAGCAAACAAATCTGCATCGGTTGCAGAAAACCGTCGGGCATCGTTAAATATCGGCAACGCTTTTGGAGTTGCAGTTTTTTGCGCCTCAAAAGATTCAACTTCTTTTTGTAAAGATGTAGCTTTCCATTCAATAATATCATTAAATTGATCTACTAAAACTGGAACCAAGCCTGATTTTAAACTTTGCATTGTGATTGTCATAAAAAAATAAGTTTACAAATAAATTCAAGTGTAGGATATTATTTTAATGCATGAATCTATTTTCATAAAACTACAAATGTAAATAAATAAGTTTTGTTTTAAAAAAATTAATATATTTTTATACTTTTATAACTTAGATTTTGTTTTAAAAACTACTTTTTGTAACAATTCATATTTACGTGTTTAAAATTACTCACATTGTAAATAACAATTTGTTTAAAAGTGTGAAGTTAAAAAACATACAGTAAATACAAATTAACAGATATAAAGTTTAAATTGAGCAAATTAATGAGCAATACAGTTAAAAATTATAATTGTTACAAAATCAACTAAAACAGTGTAAATGGGGCTTTAATTATAAAAAAGTAAATTTTAAACAAGTTTTTAAGTTAACCAAGCAAAAATGAAATATAATGCAAAGCAATCTCAACGGCTGTCAACAGTCAAGAGTTGCTGAAGTGTGCTACCATCGGCAATAAAAAACATTCAAACGCGGGTAACTGCGCGTCTCAACGGGTGTTTAGCCTTCAAGAAATGCCGCACTAGTTGATCGCAGTTAATGTGACTGAGTTGCAGTGATGCTAAAAGTAGTATCAGCGGTTGCACTTTTTACAACGACTGATGATCCTTTCCTTCTTCTTAAAATGACGTGAACTTGAACCATTTTAGTTGCTTCATTCATAAAATTCTTAAAACGTTCCTTACTTTTCTCTTTAAAATTGTCACTCTTTATTACTCAAATGAACAGTGCGTTTTAGAAAAATAATAAAGACGTTCAATTCTTTAAGTAGCAGCAACAATTGCAGAAAAAAGCAAATTGTTACAATCTAGTTTTTATTGTTAACACTAGTGTCTCATTTAGTTGGTAATACTGAAAACTTTTATAACGTATAAAAGTTTACAAACAATAAAAACATTTATTAAATTTTAAAAAAATACTTAAAAGTATTTTTATTTAAATTGTCAACACATTTTATGAAAACACGCAAAAAACAAATTTAAAAACAAAATGTTTTAAAATTATCAGTTTTTACATAAGAGTACTTGTTGCAATTTTATTTCAATAAAAATGCAATCAATCAAAGTTTTTAGCTGAAATCTGCATTGTACTCAAAAATATTTACACAACAAATTGGTGAACATATAAAAATATGTTTTAAACTGATGTTTATAGGCATTTTTAATTAACACATAATATACAACTTTTGAATACCGGTTTCTAATGTTGATTGCAATAAAAGTTTTAGGTAATTAACCTTTTTTAAAATTGTACAATTTTGACAGCAGTGAAACATCTTTTGTTGAGTTTAAAATGCAGGTTGATTTTATTATATAACAAATAAATTTAATTTTTTAAAGTTTAATATTTAGTGTGCTTGTAATAAAAATAAAATTAACTAACAATGAAAATCTACACAAAAGCCATTATCTGTCTAAGTTTGTTATTTTTAATAAATAACATTGTACTTTCGCAATTGACTGGTGGCATCGGTGATGGCTCCGTCACCGACTCTGAAGTTCAACACCTCATTGAAACTCTTACGCCTAGACTTTCCCAACGTTATCCAGCATACACATTTGAGCGGTTTCTCAAAATAAGAACTCAAATAGTTGCAGGCAAAAAGTACTATGTACTTTTCAGTTTAAAACACACCACTGGCATGCTGAGCAAAACTGAAAAAAGACGCAAAATTTGCCGAGCTGAAATTGTCAGAATGGTTTGGCTTGATGAAACTGAAATTCTCAAATTAAGATGTTCAAAACGTTAACCATAAACTAAAATTCATTTTATAACTAAACAATTTTTTTAAATTTTATCTGGTTTCTTAAGTTTAACATTCAATAAAAATTAAAGTTTTTGTTTTTTCTCACAGTGTGGCGCTTTTGACTATTTTGTGCTCACAACATTGTGTTTGCCCTTGTATCAGAGACAAATTAAAAACATTACAAACTATTTTCTGTACTTAAATTGTTAATTTGTTTCAAATATTTTTAACTTTTTCAGGTAAAATAATTTTTATAATTGTTAAATAAACTAAATGAACAGCTCAAACAAAAACATTTTTAGATAATAGCCCAAATGCAATAAAAAAATGTACTAATCATGACCATTATCAATTATATCATTAACCAAAAAGCCAAATTAGCATTTTATCACAAGTTTTGTACTTATTTTTAAATAATAAATTTTAACAAAAATTCGAAAAATGCTATAAAAACTGTGTTTATGAAATGTTTCTATTAAAGTTTTCAGTATAATAATTTATAATTATTTTCACAGCTAAACAAACATGGTTTCTAAAGTTCCAAACGTAAAACTTTCAAATGGAGTTGAAATACCCATTGTTGGACTTGGAACATACAATGCTTTGGGAGAAGAAATCAAAGCATCAGTTCATACAGCAATTGAAATTGGATATCGACATTTTGATACTGCCGACTTTTACAAGGTTAGTGTGGCGTGTTTTACTCTATTTTTTTAAACATTTTTATCATTTTCAGAATCTTGAGCCACTAGGTGAAGCTTTACGTGAAGCTATTTCTAGTGGCAAAGTTAAGCGGAGTGAACTGTTTTTAACAACCAAAATTTGGCCAACTTGGTATGGACCGGGTAGAGTAGAAGCATCTGTCCGCCGTCAACTTTCGCAATCAGGCCTTGATCAGTTTGACTTGGTTCTGCTGCATTGGCCGGAAATTTTTGCCGATGACGACGTTGAAGGCTTTCCACTGGGTGACAATGGCAAAGTCAAGTTTGGCACTCGCAAGTTGCCTGAAGTGTATGCCGAACTTGAAAGTGTGGCCACCGCCGGGCTAACTAGAGCTATTGGAGTGTCCAATTTTAACGCCGCACAACTGGAAACCATTTTGGCGACTGCAAAAATTCCTCCAGTTATGAACCAAGTTGAAGCGCACTTGTATCTGGCACAAAAAAAGTTGCAAACATTTTGCAACAAACACAACATTGCAATCACGGCCTATTGTCCACTTGGTGCCGGCGGAAATAAACCAAATACTTTTAACGTGCTCGAAGATCCCACACTTAAAGCCTTAGCTATCAAGTACAACAAAAGTCCAGCGCAAGTGGCGCTTCGTTATTTAACTCAACGTGGAATCATTGTTATTCCTAAATCAGTCCGAAAGGAAAGACTTGAATCAAATTTTCAGCTTTTTGATTTTAACATTTCTTCTGAAGATTTGTCTGCTTTAGAGGCGCTTGACAAAGGACAAAGACTAGTTAGTTTTGATTATTATGGAACAAAAGATGGACCAAACTATCCTTTTGCTGCTGAGTTTTAAAAAATTTTGTAATTTGTTTAAATTTTTTATAGATTGTTAAGTATAATTAGTTAAAAACAATAAATGGAAACCCAGTAAACAAAAATTGTTGTTTTGTAGTTGCACATTAAGCATAAAATTTATTAATATTAAAAATAGTGGCATTACTCAGCCAAACAAGATAAATAAAGTTGTAAAATTTCAAAGCATAAAACCATAACTATTGTTTGTAATAACGAGTTTTAAAATACTATTTATTAAATAATTATATAAATTAAAACAATGTTTTATGTCTAAAAAATGATTTTTCGTGTGTTATTTAATTTTTTACAATTACACAAAAACGACGTTTTTGAATGAACTGAGTGACGGTCAAGTGCAATTAGAGTGCAAAAAGAGGGTTATCAGCTCTAGTGTCAACACTAGCATCTTCTGCTTACGTGTATTTCAGTTGGTAACCAAATCGTTTGTTATTCGTTTACAGCGAGGCTAAGATAAAATCAATAACTAAACAAGTTTTACAACTGTAGTCAATACTCGATCAAGTTGTAAATCAACTTTTGCATTTATCAAACGTTTTTTGTGTTCATCAAAGCAAACGTAAGTCTATAAATACCATCAATAAACAATTTTTAACTTATATTTTTTACATAGCTCTACAACATATTCAAGCATGGCCTCAAAAGTACCAAATTTGAAATTGTCAAACGGCGTTGAAATTCCAGTTCTTGGACTTGGAACTTATAAAGCTCTAGGTGAAGACATCAAAGCATCAGTTCATACAGCAATTGAAATTGGATATCGACATTTTGATACTGCCGACTTTTACAAGGTTGGTGTGACATGTTTCTGAACTATTTTTTAACATTTTTATCATTTTCAGAATCTTGAACCACTAGGTGAAGCTTTACGTGAATCAATTGCCAGCGGAAAAATTAAACGAAGCGAACTGTTTGTGACAACTAAAATTTGGCCAACATGGTATGACTCTGGCAGAGTGGAAGCATCTGTCCGGCGTCAACTGGCTCAATCAGGCCTTGATCAGTTTGATTTGGTCTTGCTGCATTATCCTGAATCGTTTGCAAACGATGATGTTGAAAACTTTCCATTGGATGCCAATGGCCATGTCAAGTTTGGTACCCGTCCAATGACTGAAGTGTATGCCGAACTTGAAAGTGTCGCCACTGCTGGGCTGGCTAGAGCCATTGGCGTGTCCAACTTTAACGCCGCACAGATTGAAGCTGTTTTGGCCACCGCTAAAATTCCTCCCGTTATGAACCAAGTGGAGGCTCATTTGTATCTAGGACAGAAAAAACTGCAGGCATTTTGCACTAAACACAACATAGCAATCACTGCCTACTGTCCTCTTGGCGCTGGTGGCACCAAGCCCAATACGCTGAACTTGTTGGAGGATGCCACCCTTAAGTCAGTGGCAAAGAAGTACAACAAAAGTCCGGCGCAAGTGGCATGTCGGTATTTAATTCAAAAAGGCTTTATAGTCATTCCTAAATCTATTCGAAAAGAAAGACTTGAATCTAATTTTCAACTGTTTGATTTTGAAATTTCTTACGACGACTTTGCTGTATTGGAATCGCTAGACCAAAGCCATAGAATGGTCAATTTTAATTATTATGGCATAAAAGATGGTGTAAATTATCCATTTGATGCTGAATTTTAATCTGTTTTATGTTTGTGAACGTTTTAGTATAAATAAACAAACTTTAAATAATTTATTGCTTAATTTAAATTAAACTTTTTAGTTTGGTATTTTATAGTTTGACACAATACAAAACAATTTTTTTGTTTTAAAAAAAGTTCAAAATTGTAAAAAATTTTTGTAAACTTTTTTCTGTGTTGACCACTACTATTCAAGAAACTTTTTTCTTATTTTCTGTGCTCGTATGCACACATCTCACTGTAAACATCAAAACACTTATTTTTGTAAATTAAAAGTATTTTTTACAAGTTATTGAAAAGAATGATTTAAACATTTTTTATGTTTGCACAATAAAAAAACTTGTGTTGTCATTGTCAAATAAAAAAACACAACTTTAAAATTTCAAAATGTTTTGACTTAGAGTTAACAACAAAATGAAAAAATTGGTAAAAAGTTGTTTTCTTTTAGGAGTATTTTGTTTATCCCAACTTGATATTGCTTCTAATGAAATTGGTACGTAATGTATTCAAAACTATATTCAATTTACTAATGTTTTTGTGTTACAGAAAAACCGTTTTTTATTGTTGGTCCAGGATTCAATTCGCCCAATCTTATTTTTCCAAATCGTTATTTTTTTGTATTCTACAAAACACCTTTAATATCACTTAAAATTCTTGCAACTGAAAATCAGTCCGCTAATGATTGTCGGCTATGGACACAAGTTTTCACTGAAACACAATTTTGCGTGCATTTAAACCAATCAAAACTGCACACTTACTCAACATTGTCTGATTTGCTGGATAGTTCTCCATTTTGTGATACAGAAACCAAATCCAAAACACCGGACGGATTTACTTTTTATTTGTTTACTATTGTTCGATACAAACTTTTTGGGCAAAACAAATGCTCAACACCTATGGAAATTCAAATAACTTTTGAAAATCAACAAGTTGTTTATAAACAACCATTTAACACCGATAATGAAAACACTTTGTTTTCTGATCATTGCCACTGTGCAAGCAGCGCGTGGAGAAACAATTTGCGTTGCGATGATTCTCGGTCAAACCAGCGGCTATCTCAGCAAATTAATGCTGACTTAGAGTAAGTTTTTAAAAAACGTTTTTAGCTATCTTTATTGTTTGTTGTTTTTGTTTCAGACCGTTCAAAAATGGCATCAATTTTGATTCAGTTCTAAACGAATCCATTGCCCGGTTTGCCAAACACACAAGGACCTATTCCTTTTGCCTCTATCAAATTATTTCCAATGAGCTTTATAGAAATTGCTTTGGTGAATACGTCGGTTTCGCTCGATTTTATGATGAAATGTTGCTGTCTCTTTTACAAAAAACTACTGTTCAAGATGTAGAATTTGTCGCAAATTTAGGCGATTGGCCACTTTCATCAAAGTCCAAATCTGCTTTGCCAATGTTTTCCTGGTGCGGCTCTGAAGACAGCTATGACATTGTTTTGCCTACATATGAACTTACCGAATCAATTCTTCACTCACAAGGTCGCATTACCACAGATATTTTGTCAACTTTTGGAAAACAGTCAATGCCTTACACACAAAAAGAAAACAAATTGTTTTGGCGAGGTCGCGACTCTCACCGAGCAAGACTAAAGTTGATCAAGCTAGCTCAAAATGACCCTTCAAAGTTTAATGTGTCCATCACAAACTTTTTCTTTTTCCGTGATGAAATGCATGAATACACAAATGACGCCAGTGCATCTTCAGCAACAGCCAATGAAACTAGAAAAACGAAATCTTCTTACGTGCCATTTTTTGACTTTTTTAATTACCGTTTTCAGCTAAATATTGACGGCACTGTTGCTGCTTACCGTTTTCCGTTTCTTCTTGCTGGAAATTCCCTCGTCATAAAACAAAAATCACAGTATTATGAATTTTTCTACAAACAACTTCAAAGTGGCATTCACTACCTTTCAACTAGAGCTGACCTATCTGATTTAACTGAACAATTGTCAATGTTAATCAACAACAACTCTTCTGAAACCACACAAAACATAAAAACAATTATTTGGACAGCTCGCAAGTTTGTTCTATCTCATTTACTGCCCGAAAACGTTTACTGCTACTATTACAATGCCATTTCTAAATATACTCAACTTTTAACTACTCCAGTAAAACTTCGACCAAATGTTGAACTGGTTACACTTGATGAAGATTCTCAGCCAATGATCGTTGATAAACATAAAGAAAAATGCATTTGCAATCCTGAAAACTTGCAAAAGAATCACCATGATGAATTGTAATAAAATTGTAAGTTTTTTATTTAAACAAAAATATTTATTATAATTTATAAAATTAAATTAAATGTGAAAAATTGACAAAAACATAGCAATAAGAACTTTGAGTTGCATTTGTAGAAAAAAATATTAAAAAAAAATTAAAAAGTTGTGTAAAAATTTTCGGTGATGTTTGGCGAAAAAATCAGTTTAACATGTGTTTGCCCTTTTTAGCTATACAGCCGTGCGGCGTTGTTAAGCACAGGCAAACTAATTTGCTGATTGGACATTCCAAAAATTGTCTTTAGATTATTGAGAATACGTTGATTGCGACGAAATCTAAAGTCTGTTGAAGGCTGTGCCGTCGACTGAACTTCTGACGGTGAAACAGAAGGCTTTAAATGCCAAAACCGCAGTGGCTGAGATTGGCCATTTGCTTGCTGCACTGACGTAGACATAGAACCTTCAAAATGCTTGCCTACCTCACCTTGCTCTTGAGGAGCGTCATTTTGCAGGTTATCATTTTCAACTGTATTTGAAAAAACCGGCACTAGCTGAGTTTGTTCAAACATTGCCGTTCCACTTTCTAGTGGCTCACTTTCCAATGTTGATTCGCTTTTTATCCGATTATTCAGATGTTGCTGCTGACTTTGATTGCCCGTTCGTACTTCATTGAGCATTGAAAGCAAGTCTTTTAACTTTGACTTAACAGTAGGTTTAGCTGTTTCACCTGCTTGATCACTTGAAGGTAGTGGTGGGCGGCTGCTTGGCCCTTGTGTAGTGTTTGGGTGAAGCAAATTGACGCGATTGCTTTCAGCAGCGCCGTTTTCGGCATTCCACACCACCCCGGAGTAGTCGATCATGGCGTTCAGCGGAAGAATTCGGTCGCTGTAGTACTCCTCAAATGGATCCGCTGAGGGCTTCATCAATTCGTGTATTTTACTTTCAGCACTTCCCTCGTCCATTACATCCTGCGGCACGCTCTGCTTTAGTTTTTGTTTTGAGTAAAGCACATCACTACCGGGCGACTTTTGTAGTTTTGGAGTCTGCAGCTCAAGCTCATGTTGTTGCCTGCCCAACAGTGCTCGGTTTGGTCTTCCTGAATAAGTTTGAAAGGGCAGTCGATAGTTTTTTGCCTGAGCTGAGTCTACTGAAAAGAGCGGCCCCTTGTTGACAGTATTTTCACTTAGAACAAGGTTTTCATTGCCTTGCAGTGATGGTTCTGACTCAAAAATGGTCGTCTCAACGGGAACAATGTTCGGCTGTACTGCCTCGTACAGTACATCTGAATCGGGCATGAACAGTGCAGAGATGTCAGGATTGGAGGTGGGCTTGCTGGCGATCATTGGCAGTGAGTGCTGTTGAGGATGATGATGATGATGATGATGTAGAGGAACTGCCTTCATGGACAGCGTTTGTTGACTGGGCGTTGGTCGTTTCAGATTAGTCAGCAGTGAAACATCTCGAAGGTTGACACTGTAGGATTGTGCCTTTTGTGGCGGTGGCTGCTGCTGTCGGTGACTGGCTGAACCAGGTGGAGCACTATTAAAGTTGAAGACTATTGCCTGAGTTGGCCTAGCCGGTGTTGCAATCACTGTCGGCTCAATCATGCGCAAACTTCTGTGGTATTGCTCAGCCTTTCCGTTGTCGTCGTTTAGAATGATTTGACTTTTGTGGCGAGGCTGGCCAAAGTACTGCGACAGTGAACTGGCCGATGGTGGTGGAACGTTAGACAACATTTGACTGTTTTCCTTTAGATTGGCAAAGTTTAAGTGGCTGTCGAACTCAAGTGTGGACGGTCGAAGGTTGCGGTTATTATTATGATGATTGCTGCTGTCATCGTAGTCTATGGTCCTCACGTAGTGCCTTACAACAGTGTACTCGGAGTCGCCGTCTGAGCTGTCGGCGTGGCTCGATTTAAATGGCGACGGTACTGTTCCCGATTTGAGTGGTGAAAGTAGGTAGCTCACTGATGTTGACTTAACCTTCTCATGCCCGGGATGTTTTCCTTTTTGTAGTGGTGGTGGTGGTGGGGCTGCTTCTGGTGCTGATGAAGGCATCGACAAGCCAGGCCTAACGGCGTGATTCAGTTTTTTTGTCGACGACATGTGCTCATTGAAAACAATGGGCATCGCTTTGTTTGGGGTAATGTCAATGGGTTTGAACATGTTCATTTTAGGAAAAAGATGTTTCTGACTGGTAGGCATCATTGTAGGCCGTGAAAGAGGAATGGTGTTTGAAAGGGGGCGATTCAGTATGTTTAACTGGTCAAAAAGTGACAGCGACGAGTCCGGTGTTTGCACCGGCTCCTCTTGGTTGCCTGGAGAGTGGGCCAGTTTATAGTTGACTATTTACCAAAAGTAACAAAACAAAGTTAGTTTTCAAGTATTGTGAAAAAGTAACTTTTACTTACGTCTCGGCTGGTTGCCCTGTTCATAGTAGAATACCATCTCTGCTGGATTTTTCGTCGGTGAAAGTTGTGACAGTGTAACTGGAGCTCTTAAGTGGCGGTTATTATCACTGTGTGGATTGTTTGCCATTTGGTTATAATTGTGTACATTGTAATTTGATGCAGTAAATGGCTTTGCTGAATTTTCACTTTCAGGCTGCTGTTTCACTTTAAATTGGTGTTCTTTTCTGCCAAACGGCAAGTCAAACAGTGCGTTGTTGAATTTGTTTTGTTGATGCTGCTGCTGATGGTGATGATTTTCGGGAAATGGGGGCAGTAAAATTTCCTTTTGCATAGTCGGCGTTTGGTTACGCAAAACTATAAACTGATTTTCAATGGTGACAAACACTTCTGGAGAGGAAGTGGTCGCTGGAAGTGAATGAGACTGAAACTGAGAATGCAGCTTCTCCTGCGGTTGACTTTGCACGAAGTAATTACTAAAGTGATATTCAGAAGCTGAGTCGGGCAAGTGAGGAGGGCTGGACGCTGTTGAGTGCCACTGTCTAGGCGGCGGCGTTTGTGAAACGGATTGCGAAAAATCCTGATGACGAAAGTTTTGCTCAAAGTGAGCCGGTAGAAAAGACTGATGATGACCGCTGTCTGGAACGACTGAAGGACTCTGTGAGCTGAAGTACTGGTGGGCTTGCTCACCGGTGGCCGGAACTGCAGTACTGTAGTAGTAGGCATTCTGTGGCAGTGACATCTTGATGGGATACGGTGTTGACGGCGAAGATGACGAGGAGGTAGACGAAACGTACCGATAAGTTGGAGGAGTGGTACTTGGATGACGGTGGTAGTTTGTCCATCGATTCAGTCCTCTCGGTCGAGCAGTGGTCGCCATCATGTTGTGCCTACTGTACGTCTCCTTCTGATGCTGGCGGACGTTATTTGGCTCGGGAATTTGCTTTTTAGTAGTGTCAGTTGGTGGTGGGTCGGCGGCGGAGGCGGCGTTGTGGGAGGGCACATTCGGCGGTGTATCACCGCTTGGGTAAGTAGTGCTCAGATCGTGTTCAATTTTATCGCGTTCTTTTTCTCTAAACTGCTTTTTCCGCTGCTCATTGTTTAAGTAGCCTGCAGTATTCTAAAATGTAGGTAATGATTTCGGTTTTGTTTGAACAAAGTGTAAAGATTAAAATAGCAGTTCAGCAATTAGTGCTCAAACTCACCTTGCTCACCTTCCCTGCCTCGCCGTTCCCCTGCTTCTGTCCTTTCAAGTCCGGTGAACTGTTGTGCTGCTGGTCCTCCAGCTCGTACTTGAGCAGTGACTCAGTGGTGGTGGTCGTCGTGGTGGTGTACTCCACAGTGACCTTATTCGGCGTGGCCGTCGGCGGTACTGCCGCCGACGGTGGTGATTGCAACCGTTGGCCGTTGACTTTGACGTTTGACTTGTACCGATTTCTCAGCGCTTCAATCTGAGAGTTTGCCGACGGTTTCTTTGTCGGCACCTCAAAGGCAGGTACTGCTGTACGGTGTCGGGGGTAGGCATCCGTAGTGGTGGTGGTGGTGCTTGTCACGGCCAAAAAAGACATTGGTCGTCGTGTGCCACTTTCGTAAGGCCGAAGTCTGGGGCGAGCAGTGCTGGGGCTGGTGGTCGTCGTCGTGCTCAAAGCATTTCCTGCTGTCTGTTTGTCCAATTTGTCGCCGTACTTGGCCTTTGAAATGTAGTCCGGTCTTCGAGGGGGGAAGCGAATCTTTGCCGGTCGAGTTGTAGTTGTGCTGGTAGTGGTAGATGCTGGTGAGGTTTTTGCCGTTGAAGTAGAAGAGTAGGGAGGTGGTGAAGGGGGCACTGCTGATGTGCTGAAGTAGGTGGGGGTGATGCTCGATGTGGGTGATGGTGGTGGTGGTGATGGTGGCGGGGAAGGGTGAGCATGACTGTACTGATTTTTGTCACCATTGTCCGCAACCTCATCAGCATCCTCCTCATCGTTGCTGTCCTGTTTGGGGGAAGACATTGTGTGTTTTTTTGACAGGAAATAAGGAGATAGAGCAAATGGTTAAATATTTCACGCCAACACCTTTAAGTAAACTACTTGCTTGCCTTTTCAGAGTTATTCTTATTGTTGGGGCTGCCTGCGTTTAAAGCTATGTTTGAAAACAAGCCAAGTTATAGTAAAGCACATTACAAGAAAAACATTATGAACTGACCTTTTTCAGTTGTTTCATTTTTGTGTTCATCATTTTTGTCTACAGTTTTTTCCTCATTTTTGCCATCTTTTTCTTCACCTTCATCACTTTCTTCTCCTTCGTCATTATCTGCATGGTCGGTTTTGTTTTCACTAGCTGCCGTGTCCTCGTTGCCTGTTTTTGTTACAATGTAGTTTTTACCAGGTGCAGTTAATTTTTCAAACTGAGGAACTGTCAGCGAATGCTGATGTGCGTACAAGATTCCAGTGACAGATTTTCCATTGATGACAGTTATTTCACCATTCGGAGATGTTTTGGCTACAAGTGTTGTTTCAAATTTAAAAACGTATTTTAATAATTAATTTTAACTGCAGATTTTTGTTTGTTTAAGTTCCATTTTAGCTTAAAGATAAAAAACTAAATAAAAATGCACTGTACCGTTAATTGAATGAGGTGAAATAAAATTGTTTGATAAATTACGCCTTTCACTTTTAAATGCACTTGTTGAAGGGTTAATTTTGTCACCATAAAATTTTACGACATTAGGCTTTTGCAAAACAGCCGTACGACAGTTTGCCGCAACTCGAATTGCAGTTTTGTTGCGTTCCTCAAGTGAATTGCCGTTTAAATTGGCATCAGGTGAACAGAGTTCATCGTGCAGGTCACTGCCGGAATTAGAAGTTCTCGTTTCTGCAGCCACTGTTGGATCAGCCTGCTGATCAGCCCAATCATCAATGTTTGACGCATTGGGCGGGGCTGTTGTCGTCAGGACGAGCGATGTTGGGTACCAGTTGTTGGCACTGGTAAGCAATGGAGATTTGCTTTGACTGAAAAGTGATAATGATGATGATGATGATGATGATGGTGATGATGGCGGGGGTGGTAGTGGTGACACAGTGGACGGTAACTTTCCGCGAGTAGATTCAAAGATTTCACTTAAGCCATTAGGCACACACAAAAACACACAAAATACTGTTAACATCATTTTGACTGTTTAGATTTGGAGAACAATGTAAATAAAAAGTGTTCAAATGTCAATTTTTAAATTATTTAAATAAATGTTGACGTATTTTTGACAAAATGTTTTAAATTAATGATGCAAAAACATATAAAAACAATATTCAAGTTTTAATAAACAATTAAAACATTTAGTGAATTTTTAATAACAGTTGAGCTAGCAAATTTAAATATTTTTTGCATCTGAATTTGGTTATCGTCATATTACCAGCCCTAAACGCATTCAATGTAGATCTGTTTTTTATTAGATGGTTTAAAAACAATCAATTGCCGTTGAACAGTCAGTTAGAGCAGCACTCTTTACGAATCACAAAAAAAGTGAAGAAAGCTAAAACAAAGGGGCAAACGCCATAGTGAACAAAAATAGTGGCGCGCACCAGTGACGTGCACTGATGTGCTGACTGGGGGACAGCGGCAACAGCAGCAGCATCGATCAGTTATCCCCACTGGGTCCACCACTGTTTGTTGGTGTGTCCAGCACAACAAAACAAAAAGTGGTAGCAAACAAATGACAACAAACAATGCAATTGCTGGAGAAGAAAGAAAGAACAAACGAAAGAAAGAAAATGGTAGCAGTGCCGCCGGCGGTGATGGCGGCGCAGGATGAAGGCGCAGATCGGCGGTCTAAGGCAAATGAGATTAGTTGATCGATTGCCTGCCTTTTGACAATCCTTCCTCTCAGTCGTACCGACGGGTAATACCGACTGAGGTGATTTCAGCTTGGATGAGCAGTAGCAGACCACACCGAGAAAAAGGTAGCACTCTCTGTTTGTGTGTCTGTGTATCTGTGTGTGTGAGTGTCTCTCTGAAAGTTTGAACTCTACCGCCCGATTTGTCAGTAAAGCCACACTGCACCAGGTGAAACGGGCAGAGTGAAAGAAGAGAGAAGAAGAAAAATGAAAAAAGGAGAAGCAGAGTGAAAAAGTGAGGGAGAGAGAGGGAGAGGGAAAGAGAGAGAGAGTATATGGAAGACAAAAAGAAGAGCAGAGAATATGTTTTGCTGTCTTTACCAATCAAACGGTAGCAACAAGTACTGAAGAAGAAGGAGGGGGAGAACATATGTGGTCATTACTTTTGAGCACTGATGCCACCACAACCGTCAACTGCACTGGCTAAAGGAAAGAGGGAGTGAGGCAAATAACGGGATAAATCGATGTCCGCTTTCCCACAATAAACCTTTGCAGCGCTAAACGACTTTATTATTAAGAAAGCAGTAATCACTTTTGCAAGTATAACTTAATACCGTAGAAGTTATGGGTGAAAGCAGTTACAGTAACTTTTTTTAACTTTACCAATTTATCAGCAACATTTTAAACAGTTGATTAGTTGTAATTTAATAACTTGCGTTTAAAGTTATTGCTCATACTTTGTTAGTTAGCCTTGCCAACTAAAACAATAGTTGTTGTTTTCTGCAAAAACCGAAATGAATCTACAAACCGTTATAATGTTAAATTAATCCAACTTATTCAACCGGTGTCTCAGTTATACCGTTTGAATTTTTGGCTGTTTTCATTTGCTTTCACTAGCAAACTTTTTAAGCCAATTTGTTGTTGTTGTCAAATGCGTTCACTTGGTCGTACTGTGCTGTTGTTTTTTTTATGCCAGCACTTGTACCGTACAATATTTGCATTGCTCGCTTTCATTTAATTACACTTTTTCCCTTTCGTTCTTGCTCTTTTTACCTACAGTCTACAACCGTTGCAAATAACTGTTATCTGTTGTTTGCGTCCTTATAGCATAAACACTGTTCTCAGTCTGCTGTTGCCGCCTAAATTTTTTTTTCAACAAAAAGATAACTTTAGTTTCCCTATCTTCTTTTTTTTGCTTTTTTTTGCTTTTTTCAAACACTTTGTCAAAAGTTTTTTTACCTTACGTAAAACAAAGTTCAATCATTTTATTAGCTATTCGTTCTCACTCACTAAGTTTTTTCACTGCTCGACTCATTGATGCTTTATTGTTCATTGCTTTTGGTGCTTTTTTTCCCCTCCTTTTTTGCTTAACTAATTTAAATTGTCAAATTTAAAGACAACCTCATGTTTTTTCAGTTGCAAAAAAACATTAGAACTGGTTATTGTTAAAACACTGTCAAAGTAAAAAGTATTTGTTTCATCAAAACGATTCATCAAAACCAATTAAAATTACCATTTTTTCAAATAAAAAATTTTAAACTGATTGCCTGTTATTTTGCTTGCAATTTTAATATACATTTACATAATACAATTATTTTGTTTGTTTTTCTCAGTTCTGTTTTGTTTTTAAAAAATCATCAGTTGTTGTAACAATTAGATAATGCATGCTGATTACAATTTTTGTTTACAATTAGTACTTTGTTTTAAGTAACTAAGTTAAGCAAAAACTAATAATTAACAATGTAGACAGCCAAAATTGACAAGGGTAGTCGTTCAGTAGTGTAGCGGGTTTAAATCGTTAGAGAAAAGAAAGAGAAAGAAAGAGAGGTCGTGAGTCAAACTGCGAGTAGGTCAACAAGAAAACAAAGAGTAAGTTAAGAACAGTAGCATAACTGGTCTGCACTCTATGGAACTGTAGTTTTATTACGTTAGCATAAACACAACACTAAAGCATGACAACTCTTGGAGTTCACCAACTTATGCCGAACTGGCTAGCTAAAGCTGAACGGAGCTATTCAAGTGACAATTGATCGGTTTTCGTTGCCGACTGAGACTGTGTGCTCTGTCAACCTTTTTTAGGTAATGGCTAATTACCAGCGCAGTTCTATTCATGTGTGTTTCACAAGTGCCGTCTTTTAACTAATTCAGTTATCACGCTATTTCAGTGTTTCTATTACTGTCCTAAAGTTGCTACTGATAACTAGTATTTTTATTTACACTCAACAGTTTAATACAAAGTCATTGATGCTCTAATTGTTAAATAATAAATTACAAGAGCGTGAGTGTCGCTTCGCGACACGTACTCTTTAGTTTTTCTAA